AATATCACTTCACACTGACCTTATCTTACCATTTCATACCGCCTTCTCTACAGCTGCAAGTCTACGTATGTTTCCAAGAAGGAAACCTTCTGGATAATTTGACAACAAGGAAAAAACTTGTCAGTGACCATTACATGTAATGAAAGCCAGTAATTTTTCAGGTACAGTACAAGCAAATTTGGACCGAGGAGGATATGATGGCTGGATTTTTTCATGGACAATCTTCCATGCATTCAATTTAATTTCTCTGTTTATCAGGTCACATATCTTCCCCTCCCCCTTCTCTCTATTAACAGTCAGTGCCACATAATCACCTCATGAATTTCTTTTGACTTATGTCCTTTAAATGGTGTGTGATTTCAATAAATAGGATTTTCATTTGAAAATATTTACTTTTGCTTGGAAATCTCTTGGAGCTGCCGAAATATGGCAAGAAATGGCAATTTATGCGGAAAATTACACTTAAGATTCTGGATCCTTGTTGCCGTTTTATAAATAAATGGATTCCTTACATTCACAGCATGGCTCAGTTAGAGCATAAAATCCTTTCCTGAAGATCTTCTAACACTACAGGAAGAGTATTCATAAACAAGCCACTCTTCCCTACTTGCGAAGGAAATATCCCATTAGCAGAGTTTTGCTTATAATTTACATTCCAAGCGAAGACATTCATAACATTCCTTATAACTAAATACACAAATCACCTATAATGACTCTATTCCCGTCCCCAGTGCACATTAGTTAAGTATATATAATAAAAGAATGCATGGCATAAATCAAAGCACCAACATTTTAAACTACACGTGCCCACCTTCCCAAATTTGCCAGTGGTATCAATAAAATAATCCATGGAAAAGTAGGTTATATGTTGAAAATTTGAAAGTTCCACATTTGTGTATGATTGACAGTATGTTTGTCTTTCAGTTGAATATCAAACCAATTGCCAGAGCAATTTAGTCAATTGGCAGTTGTATAATTAAATTAAGTTTTACCTTAACTGGTTATCCAAGTACAGAATGCTAGTACTACAGCCTCTAGCACCATTTTTCTACTTATGGCCCTCCAGATATCTTTAATGCCAAAACTTGCTAAGAGAATCAAGGGATTTAAAGCCCAACCTATCCAAAAAAAACCCCACCAGACTGTCAAAAACTGTTCCAGAAAGAGGACTGTGTTGCTGGGGGTGGGGGGAGAAAATCTTGAGACAAGGGACACCTCTGTATGGTTTGCCAATTGCACAGTGGCAGATAGGAAAGCACTCCAGAGGGTTAACGTCATTGCCCAGAAGATCATTGGTTGCCCTCTCCCCTCTTTGGAAGAGCTTTATAGCTCCCGCTGCCTTAAGAAAGTTCAAAACATTCTCAAAGATCCATCTCATCCTGGGAATCCTTTTTTTTTTTTTTTTGAACTATTACCATCTGGCAGACTGTACAGAATAATAAAAACAAGGACAAATAGGCTGAAAAACAGCTTCTACCCCAGGGCAGTAGCTCTGTTGAATTCTGCTGTATAGTGCAGTGTTGGTGTGGTGTGGTGTGGGCGGTCGGTTCAATGTGTGAAGGGTGAAGGATGTGTGTTTGTGTTTATTTTCATGGTCATGGTCATGATGTGCACTGAAGATGGTGTTTGATTTCGTTGTACGAGGTGCATTGACAATAAAGTAATCTAAATCTAAACACTATGATGCAAAATTAGAGCAGTTGTTGTCAATCCTTTCAGCAGAATACAGCCTCAGATTGAACACAGCTGTTGATCAAATTGGCCTTAGACTTCTGCAAATTCTCCAATACATCTGGCTTTCTCAGAAAAAAATCCCAGCCTCTTTCAAATAAATTAATCCAGAACTATTAGGAGCAGGAAAAGGAGCAAGTATAAAGACAATAAATCCCTATGGTAACTGGATCATGCTGGATGTTTGCTTATATTTCACCAATAACTTCCTGAAGCACAGACTCCAATTGAGTTGCTTCCTGTGTTTGAGATCAGATGCCTCCAGAGTTTAAAGGCCACGTTTACAAATGTATTATTTACAATCCAAATGTTCAAAGTGGCTGAAGTGGCATGACAATAAAGAAATTAATAGACCTGCCCAACTGCATGCTTTCATTAGAAAGTTTGTGTGGAAGAATCTCCCTCTTGGAAATCATTTTACTTATTTAGTTTATTAAATTTATGTCCCATGTTTCATTCAAAGTCCTCAAGAGCCATACTTGCATACATGTGAACATATCCTTTTTTTCTTACCACAGAAACAACACTGAACTGAGAAAGTATAACTAGCTCAGAGAGAACCAGTGAGTCTCCATGGTTAGAGGTGGATCAAAACTTGGACCTTCCTGCTCCTAATTCAGCAGCTGAACTATTGTATAACATTAACTCTCCCATGGTTCATGAATATCTGTACTCAGAACAAGGTGTAAAACCTAGCACTGGTATAGCACTTGAAATGAATTCATACCAATTCTGACAAACTGCTCCAAAGAGAATGTATAAAAGTCTGAAGAGATTCTCAGCCATCCAGATCATGGTTGTCCCAAAGGTGCTTTTTTCAGGTGGCAACTGGACTTCCTTGTTTTTTCTTTTGAAGACATTTTGCTTCTCATCCAAGAAGCTTCAGTTGACCCTGAGGACACAGATAAACCTCCAAGTGCTTCACCAACCCTCTAAAACAGGTCTGCCAAACTCACGACCCCAGGCCGGATGCATCATGTGCTGGCCACACCCAGACCCAGTTTAGCGAAGGGGGGGGAAAGTCATGATACATCATGTGACAATGATATGATGATGTGAGTTTGACAGCCCTGCTCTAAAAGGATGCAAATGACCAGCTGTCTGCAAGGAATATAAAGCCTTCCATTCCCCACTATCCAGTCAGAGCTGAAGAAGCTTCTTGGATGAGAAGAGAAACGTCTTCAAAAGAAAGAACAAAGAAGTCCAGTTGCCTCCTGAAAAAAAGCACCTTTGGGACAAGAGAATGTATAGTAGACCTCAACTTACTACCACAACTGAGCCCAAAATTTCTGTTGCTAAGCAAGACAATTGTTAAATGAATTTTGCCCCATTTTACAACCTTTCTTGCCACAGTTGTTAAGTGAATCATTGCAGTTGTTAGGTTAGCGACACATCGTTAAGTGAATCTGGCTTCCCTATTGGCTTTGCTTGTTAGAATGGTCACAAAAGATAATCACATGAGCTCAGAACACTGCAATCATCATAAACATGAGTCAGTTGCCAAGCATCTGAATTTTGATCACCTAACCATGGGGGTGCCGCAAAGGTTGTAAGTGTGAGAAAATGGTCATAAGTCACTTTTTTCAGCACTGTTGTAACTTCAAATGGTCACTAAATGAAATTTGATTACATGACTACGGAGACGCTGCAATGGTCATAAGTGTGAAAAACTTATACGTGACTAATAGAGTAAATCACTTTTTCAGTGCCACTGTAACTTTGAGCAGTCACTTAATGAATGTTTTAAGTTGAGGACTACTCGCATCTCCTTCTTAGATATGGTAATATGACCAGGAGGTTATTTAAGGCTGCAAAGGAACTATTTGAACTGGGAACATTCCAGTTCTCACAAAGTGGCACTACATTTTTCTAACTTCTGAACGTTTAATACAAGGAAAACCATCTCCTTTGTTAGTGTGACAAGATTCAACAATATATTGCTAGCTATCAGCTGTAAGAGACTGTAATTTAATGCTCTTTTCCTTTTCAGTATCTCTTTAAAATCAGAGTTCAAATCTCCTGGTTCAAATTTCAAAACCGTTAAATATAGGTTTTGTGGTATGGTGGTTATGACCCCAGCAAAGGTTCATGCCAACAATATTTATCAAGTCGATAATCGGATCAGACAATCCCAGGGCAAAGGCTTTCCAAAAAATAAAAATAAAAACTTGTAGATATCACGTATCACAATTTTCAGCTGCTACCATCATTTGCTCTCTGACAGGATGAAATTATCCGACTAAATGCTGCTTCATTCATCTAGCTAATACAAATGGTTTCCATGGTAAAACACTAACTTATACAATCAACACTCAATAACAATATTAAAGTGTAAACAGGAAGAATATAGCTTAGATATATTAATAGCATATTAATGCTATTAGCATATTAATATTATTATTATAATAGCATATTAATAGCATTAGCTCCATAGCCATCTCAGGGAAAGGATACCCATGATAAAATTACAGGCATCAGGAAAGAGGCCAAGGCACATATTTCAAATTTCTAGTTTTGATCCATAAAATCTCCAGGGAAGAGAAAATGAAGTAAGTCTTCTGCCCAAGTCCTTTGAGGGCTACTGAGGTCTGGCATAGATCATATTGGGGTAGATGAATTTATAGTCTGATGTATGGCAACACAGTTCTTCTGTTCACATTCAAAGCATATGGTTCACCTTTGTTGAGTACATAATATGATTCGTATTACTGTTAATGCAGTTTACAGAAATGGATTTCTTCTCCGTCCCAAGACTTAAAAGACTTCACTGCAAGCAACAAACACTGCTTTGAGATAGTTTGTCTTCTCTTACACCATGCCACAAAATAAACCAATTAAAGTCAATGACCAAAGGTCCAGATGAATATAAAACTAAGGCCAATTAATAATGGAGGGAAAAGGTAGAAGGGAGTATTAAAGGAAACCCAACAGAGAGTGAAACCACTTTTCAAAACACCCACACAGAGACAGCAGCTCCCGACAAGAGAAATGTTCTCTACCAAAATAAACCACAAAGATTATTTTCATGAAAAATTAAAGAGTTCTCTATATGCAGATTACATGACATTTAATTTTAGGAAACTCTGCTGAAATGAAACTCTTTTGTGCATGATTCCATTCATGAGATAAATGATTAAACAATACACATCCTTTTAGATAATTTAATATCCTCCTTTTAACACGCTTAATTCCTTCTTGAGGTTCATACATTACTAGATTTAATTATTAAAACAGAAATAGAAACCATTATAAAATCATTTATATCTTACCTTGGCACTGAAATCCTTGTTTTCCAAACCCCCTGTAAGGAGGAGAAAAAAAGAAAAGACTTAGAAATATATTTTGATATTAAATTAATACTGATCTACAATATGTTTAAACTTATTGTCAGAGCAAAATGAAGCTGTTAAGATCTCTTACTTTCAACTAAAAACAGGTTTCCCCCCCCCCAAATTCCTATATTCAGTTTTGAAGAAAATTTGTGGACTATTGCACAATGATGTAATATATCAATGTAATGTGGAAATATTGTGATGTGGTACACTTAATATGAGAAATAATGCAGGCTATCTTCTATTTGATACTGTATGTACCAGTAGCTTAACATTTTCTCTACTAAATTCTGCCACACGAGAAAAAATGGGCTACAGTTTATTCAAATGAAATCCAAATTTCTTTGGAAGGCACTTCTTGATTTAAAAAAAAAAAGTAATATTATTTTGACAATGTAATGATTCATATCACTCTATTATGATTCCTTTTGATGGTATGATAATTAATGATTAAACTATCTTTGCAGCTTTTGAAGTCCAAAGTCTCATATTTGGCTATTGAATGATAATGTGTCTAATTCAAACCCTGATAACCTGGCATTCTCTAGATAAATTAGCCTCCAATTCCCCTAGCATCTGTTCCTTGTTCAGAATTATGGGGCTGTAGATCAATATATATGGAAGACAGTGGACAGCTTTTCTATGAAAGCTGAATATGAGATCCACAAGCCAAGATATTCAATTATTGGGAGTTTTCCTATAGTCTAGTCCACCTCTCCTCAGGAAGACATTATTTTTCATACTAGACCAGGGGTGTCCAACCTTGGCAACTTTAAGACTTGTGAACTTCAACTCCCAGAATTCCTCAGCCAGCAAAGCTGGGAGTTGAAGTCCACAAGTCTTAAAGTTGCCAAGGTTGGACACCCCTGGTCTAGACTGACTACATATTCCAAAATACAAAAAGCATTCTTGTAGACACTCACATTTGATCAGCAGTTGCCTTTGTAAATTGACGTTTCATATATTACTAAGAGAATTATAATCTGAGGTACACGCACATACAGAAGCCACCAGTCATCTATTAAGTCATCATTTCAGATGTATTTCCTTACTAAACAAGAGCAGCAGAATGACTTCCTACCAGCTTTCCCACTGATTGTGTTTGTGGGAAGCTTGCACGGAGCACCAGAAATCATTCCTTCTTGGCTGACACACAAAACTGCGTGCCATTTTGCCAGGAAGAAGGGGAACAAAGGGAGCCATGGATCATAAGGAAAATTATAATACCCTGCTCCTCATCCTGATATGTCCCCAAGAGCCCCCTCCCCCAGGGGGGAAGAGGATTCACCCACCCACTACCAGCTAGACCTAGTGCCCCCCAGATAGACCTATTTTGCCACCTACTGCCTCATCCTTCTCTCGCCACCCACTGCCATTAAGAGATTTCAAATTTTAGCCTCATTTTCAAAGCAGCCCCTTACCTGTCAGACCTAACAAGGGTCAGAGGGAGGCAGGAAAGAGGGCAAAAATATGGGCCTCCCATCTTCCCTTGTGCCACCCAACCTATAGGTTTCTGGGAAGTGTAGTTGGAAGGCATGGAGATGCTGAGGTAACTAGCTACAATTTCCATGAATTTCATTCTCACAGGAATCATGGGTCCCAGCATTCTATATTTAAGTTTAATTAAAAGTAACCATTTACGTTACTTGGGTTCAATAATTGCTGCTCTACACCTTCTGATTTCTTATTATGTGCAAACGTGTGTGCATGATATATGGTGACATATGTCATGACATATGACATATACTCTCATGATTCTGTAAAACACCTGAAGTCATTGATGAGTGAGCAGTCTCATAAAATAACTGAAGCACATAAATGTTGTCCTTAACCTGTCTCAAAAATAATATTACTTGATAGCTCAATGATCATTATAAATATCTGAGGTGTATGCTTCATAATTACTTAAGAGTCACTTTATGCACAAACCTACTTCTCTAGTAGAGAAACTCTTTATCATCTGAAACGAAAATGTATTAAATTTAAACATTTTTATAACCACAGGCTATCAGATTCTGGGTTCCTGCATCTCATTGGACCATATGAAATATAAGGGTATACTATATGTATATGGTCAGAAGAGCGGCTTCTAGGAATACCGGTAAAACTTTCTCTTAGTTCCACATTCCACTCAAAATTTGGTTAACAAAGATATCTACAACAGAATATAGAATAACAGAGTTAGAAGGGACCTTGGAGGTTTTCTAGTCCATCCCGCTGCTCGAACAGGAGATCCTGACCTATACCATTCTGGCAAATGGCTGTCCAATCTCTTCTTGAAGACCTCCAGTGATGAAGCACCCACAACTTCTGAATGCAAGCCCTTCCCCTGATTAATTGTTCTCACTATCAGGAAAATTTCTCTATAGTGGCACACAGAAAAACTGCCCTATATCAATTCCATTTTCCCATTTGGGCCTGTTTTTCCTGTCTTTTTAAGCCAACATTGACTTTCATTTTTTCAGTCTAAGAGTTCTCTGGAGCTAACCTTTGACTTCCACGTTTCTATCTGTGGCCTGAAAATCAGGTTTCCCTACTGAAACTTTTATGAAAATAAAGAGGTGAGAAGTGATGACCGACTTCAACTGATTCAGATGGAAAAGGGCAATAGTCCCATTCACAGATTGCGCTAAATGATTTCCCAACCTTCAAAAATGGAATTTCATAGCTTATAAAAGACATAAGGATTATGCATGCTGAAAGTTATTGTATTTATGATACTAAATTATTGGCTGTACATGAAAATGTGCTGAACTATCTGCTTATCAAGATCAAGGACTATAGTCTCAAAATTGGCCTGCACTTTAATGAAAGAGGAGCAAGATTCTAACAACTGGTAATATCTGTAATTTCATCTTTGACTGAGGGGAAATATATATAGCTGACAATTTCAATTGGCTTGGATAAGCAATGAAACCACAAGCACCCAAATGATGAAATACTGTTGGAAAAATGGTTATGTAAGGCCAAAGTTCTTTAAGTACAGAAAAATTTCCATATGTACCAAGATCTGATTTGTTTGGACCAGGATATTTTCAAGAACATAATATGGATGGGCAAGTTGGATAGTAAAGGCACAAGATGGGGGGGAACCCATATACTGCAGATATCAAGGATTGCCTGATAAACAGACCAGTCAATATTGAGGAAATCAAAGCTAAACTTTCCACAAAAGCTCGAGTGACAAGACCAGCCATCAAGCTATGGACACTTCAGGCAAAGAGACAGATAATTAGAGAAAAATCTCATGCTTAGTCGGGTTGAAAGAAAATACGAAAGAGAACGACTGGCAGGGTGAAGGGTTGGTACAACAGCAGCAGCCCCTGGTGCCATCCTAGCAAGGATCAGCCATCTAAAACTGAGCACAGTTCAGGGCAACCATTCACTGGGTCGCGAGGAGTTGACATTGTCTTGACAGCAACTAACAACGCATGGGTCATGGGAGAGAGAAAAGGTCCCAGTGGAAGAGCAATCCTATGTCCAAGTAAAACAGATGCAATCCCACTGAGATATTTAACTTCGTTAAATCCAGCTGCAAGGAAGAATTTTTCAGAGACCACAGAATGGTAAACAATTATGTTTCCATAATAAGGTGGAGATTTCATATGGGCAAGAGGCTTGTTTGTCTGCTTTATTTCTATGAGCACACTGTAGGAGTTTAAATATAGATTAACAGTGTCTATTACCTATCAGTAACCAGGACATAAATGTTTGACTTCAATATTCTTTTGGGCCACTTCAAAAAAAAAGTCCTTACTTCTGCAAACATTAGCAAGCTCTGAAGGCGCAAACAATAACGCTACAAAAATATCCAAAATGATGTTGTTAAAAACAGCTGTTAGCCCCTTACCACAGGGTCGAACTTAAGGTTTTAAGTTCTAAAACATGATTTATACCCGCTGCCTCAAGACAGAAAACTTAAATTAAAAAAATAATAATTTGTGCTTATTGATTACCATTTCTGCATTCTGCATATTTGCACAAATTGCACAAACAATTCAAACAAATAAAAAAAATATTCATTGAATACCTATCTAAAAATAAATTTAAAAATACTCATCATGTAAGAATTACACAGGAAAAAATAGCCAGCATAACCTATTAAAATCACAGATGCTCTTCTTTTAGTTCAATAACAACATATTTGATAAAGACAGGTAATCCTCAACTTACAACCACAATTAAGCCCAAAATTTTTGTTGCTAAGCGAGACAGTTGTTAAATGAAATTTGCCAACATTTTACAACCTTTCTTGCCACAGTTAAGTGAATCACTTCAGTTGTTAGGTTAGTAACATGTTGTTAAGTGAATCTGGTTTCTCTGTTAACTTTGCTTGTCAGAAGGTCGCGAAAGGGGTTCACATGAGCCCGGGACCCTGCAACCATCATAAATATGAGTTAGTTGTCAGGCATCTGAATTCTGATCATGTGACCACGGGGATGCTGCAATAATTAATGTAAAAAACAGTCATAAGGTTTTTTTCCAGTGCCGTTGTAATTTCAAATGGTCACTAAATGAATGGTTGTAAATTGAGGATGACCTGTACTACTGATTAACTCTAACACACTGTTTACATAATGATTGCTAGCATCTTTGATAAATGGTTGTAATTAAATGTCTTCTGAGATAAGATCTTGTAATTCAATGGGCAGATATTTTTCTCCTATAAACTATAAAAAAAGCTTTGAAGAATATACATATAACTCCTTTACTGCTAACACAGAAACACAAGTCAAAGAGAGGGAAATAAGGGCTAAAGTAACCTGCTTCAACCATGAAACTCACCAATTTTGAACTCAGCATATTGTTTCTGTCTCTCATTCTCTTTCGCTGTCTCCCCATTTAACCCATTTGCTCTAAGAAGAAGGGCAGAGCTAATATAAGTACTACTTTGAGCTTGTGGAGTAAAGCTGGAGTACAAATTTAACAAGTTGTACAAGAGGAATTTCAAAGTACTGTAGCTTTTAAA